GTGATAAAATAATTCATAAGAAAGTAAATGATAGTTATGTTACTTTTTTTTAATAAATTGAATGGTCAAATATTAGTCAACGTTGTCAACCATTAATAACAGGAGGAAGAGTAGTATAACCGTCACCTGATCTCGGTGTCCTTGAAAGACTTAAACCGGTGACTGTTATAAGGGTGTAATTAGCTACCTCGCAAATTCACTTATAAATCAAACGAAGATGTTATAAGTGGATTTATGAGTTAGCCATTTACACCATTTGTGACTGCCCGCAGCGACGATTAAGGGTGTAAGTAGCTACCTCACCAATTCACTTATAAATCAAAATAAGACGTTATAATTGAATTCACGGGTTTTTTTTTTTAACGAATCGGCGAGCCGCCAATTTCATTGAACAGATAAGGAGTAAATTGTACAGTGTAAAAGGCAAAAACTGAGGACCTTAGGCCCGAGCTAGCTAAGTTACAAGCCAATCTCCCATATGTCTTGCGCTTGACAAGGCTCATGTTCTTGCCTCCTCTTTAATTTTTGCCAGTATACTGCTCGATGAAAGCTTTTTTGGTTGGAACATTCCACGGTTTCTTTCGTTCCACCCTTTGTGATTGCTAGCGGGCTGGCGGAATTTACAACAAAGGCCGGGTTTAGTTCCCCAAATTTTTTTTCCAAAACATCACATCGAATCTTTGGACACATGCCTGGAGCATTAAATATAGATTAAAAAACTAATTGCACAATTAGGGGGAAATCACGAGACGAATCTTTTGAGCCTAATTAGTCCATGATTAGTTATAAGTGCTATAGTAACCTACATGTGCTAATGACAGATTAATTAGGCTTAAAAGATTTGCCTCGCGTTTTCCAGGCGAGTTATGAAATTAGTTTTTTTCATTCGTGTCCGAAAACTCCTTCCGACATCCGGTCAAACATCCGATGTGATACCCAAAAATTTTATTTTCGCTAACTAAACAGGCCCTTTGGTCACGGAATGGCAGATGGATCTTGGGTATCTTATCATGAACGCCTCTCGAGGCAGTACAGCCTAGCTAATTGCCAATCATCTACGCTCTCGTCATCGTCGTCGTCGCGATGGGACACCGGGACCAACCAAACCAGCCATGTCGCCGCGCGTCAGAAACGGCCAAATCACCGGTCCATTCCCGCGGCGGAGGATCGCCGTAATAAGAAGGGCATCCATGGCGACGTTGACGGGTTCAGTAGCTGCCTCTCCCTCCGTCGTCTCCGACGCGATGGCGACGAGAGCTCGGCCATTGCTGCTGTGCCTGTGTCTCTGCTTCGCTTCTTCGTGCTTGAGCTCGGCCGTTGATGCTGCTGCAGCTGCCGGCAATGGCTACCGGACAACGGCGTTCCTGGTGGACGACGAAGGGAGGCGGCTCCGTGCCGAGCTCGTCGCCGGCGGCGGCGGCGGGAACACGGCGTACGGCGGCGACGTGCAGAGGCTAGATGTGTATGCCAGGTGCGCACGTCCACTTCTTAGCTTTTTTTTTTTACCGCAAATTGTTTTGGTTTTTCTTTTTTTGGCTGAATTGCTCTGCAAAGTTGGCGAAAATAATTCTGTAGATTCCTATCGATTTTTCACATTTTTGGCACGCATTGCAAAGTACTATCAATCAGTTTTGAAGGGCCTGACTGTACGCATCGACTCATACTGAACTGTTTGCCAGTTGAGAGGTCACTAGCTTGAATTTTTTTTATTATTTAGACATTTCTAATAATTTTAATAATACACTTCCCCTTGAATTTATTTTCAAAAAATAGACTTTTGGCTGCACCAGTGATGGCTAAAGAAGGATACCACCCCAGTGGTTGTGGCGTGACAGTTGATGCCATCGTGGCAGTCATCGGATGGACTTGGCTGTGTTCTCTGATTCTCTCCCATGGGTTCTCAACCCATTTTCTCTCGTTTTCCGTGTGCACGGCACGATTTTCAAACTGCTAAACGGTACGTGTTTCGAGAAAAGTTTTACACAGTAAAATTGATTTTAAAAATCATATTAATCTATTTTCAAGTTTTTTATAGCTAATACTTAATTAATCACGTGTTAATTATCGCTCCGTTTTCCGTGCGGACTTGCAGGGGAGGGTTTCCAACCCCTCCAAAAGAAGTATGGCGAGGACAGTAGTGAACCCTGGCATCCCTCACTCCAGTTTTCTCTCTTCACAGCTTGTACAAACATTTTTATTTTTTTTGAGTTCAATTTTCAACTTAATACTTTGTCTCAAAATATAAGGTGCCTATAATTTTTTTAACGCAAATTAGTTATAAAGCACCACAAGTTCACGTTTTTGTTAAGAATTTAAAAAGTCGATATTTATAACTTTTGAATAATAATTAAATTAATAATGAATGTTTAGTGCACGTGATACTATTATATTTATATTTCAAAATACTTAATATGAAAAACATATATACTCATGTTATATTTTAGAATAAACAGAGTATTAATTAATTAAGAGTGAATTGCACTTTAGGCCACCTTTTATTACTGAAGTTGTATTTGTGACCACTTTATATTTAATCTTTTCAATTTGGACTAGTTATTTTTTTATCAATCTTTTCAATTTACACCACTCTAACGTTTTCGTCTAGCCACATCCAATCTTTAATCCGGCAAAGATGCGAGCTACACGTAAAGATGCCAATGTGCTTGAGATTGTTGATGTGCTCACGAAGAGAGTTTGCATGCATGGTCTAAAATGCAGAAATAGCGAAAATACCTAGTTCAAAGTAAAAAAAAAATGGATGGAGGGTAGTCCAAAGTAAAATTTCTGGTAATTAAAATAACTCAAAGTGTCTCTTAATTAATTATGCTCTAATTATCCGGATAATGAGCTGCACTTTGGGGCAGCTGAGAAACTATATTGCCAACTAACCGGACATGTATTAAATTTCCACGAGTCTATAGCCAATTGTTTTATGACATTATTCTTCGACATGACCCTCCTGATCTTGCCCATTGTGTCATTGACCCCATTATTCGCCTTTAGTAGAGCAAGGTCGATCAACTTGTCCAAATTAAACGCTACATCACCTTTATTAGTAGCATGGTCACACGTATTATTCCAACTAGCTGATTGTCCAAAATCCAGACACCACACCAGTACAATGCTCTAGTGCATTACAGCAATTTGTGCAAAATATGCTCTGCACTTTCTTGTCCCATGCTTGTAGGTGTAACGTACAAATCTTCAGATGCAAAGGTATAGTAGTATATAAGCTAAGAATAATGGATAACCCTGGAAAAAAGCAAAAGGTTAGATTAGAAGACGTTTTGACATCCAAAAGCAGAAAGCCAAAAAGATCCATCACGAACTTAATAGAAAACTAACCAATTATTGGCGTATCTAGAGGTACACGCAAACAGGAGTATCTTACTTCTTCCCTTTTGTTGTGTTTCCAGCGTTTTCTCTTCTTCCTGGACCTGTTCCCCCGGGCCTGCAAGCGATAAGATGTAATACCTCCTTTAGGTTATAAAACTTTCTAACATTGCTCGTATTCATATAGATGTTAATTAATCCAGGCACACATATATGTCTAGATTTGTTAACATATATATAAGTGTAGACAATGCTAGAAAATATTATAATATGAAACGGAGGAAGTACTATTTAGGCAAAGATCAGATTCTTTCAATAAAAAAACAATTAAATGGATCAGATGAAGCAATGATTGATAGTATTATATAAGAAAAAGATAAACAAAAACAAATTAATTTAAAGAAGAGTAGAAAGAAGAGTAGAAATTGTGGTATCACAAATGCTGGTGTGTAATTTAGACATTTACTGTAATTGTTCCTAGATTTCAAATTTATTCTAAAATGTAGTTATTTCTCTACCTACCTCCAAATTATCTTAGCCAATTCCAACAATCTCATATTTAATTTTCTCATCTATGTTTTTTTTTGAAAAAATCTCGTGAAATATCTCTAGAGAAATGCTTGTAATTTAGGAATGGAGGAAATATCTTATAAATAGTTCAAACGAATCATTTTTCTTGTTCTGGCGGTGCAATCACATCAAATGTGTACAACGGGGAGCTATTTGTTGGTAATTCAGATGCTATGCTGATCGATCTTTTTTGTAAACATAGCCGCAATATATACATTAAAAAATGAGTCAGCAACTCAATAATTTTGGTAGAGTGATTGGCAACTGCTACACAATAAGAAATGTCCAGGGGTCTTCCGGCTAAATCCACAAGATGATGGGCTAGCTAGCCTGGTTCAAAGACTTGCTCCTTTTAATTATTTGATATTAGGTCATTTCTTAATATTTATGTTTTTTTTGCAACCGCTGCGCAACGCAACTGTGTGTTAAATGAAAGCACATATGGGGCTTGATTTGTATTTTTGTTGCTTGCCTAGAAAAAAAAAGATTGTTTTGTTCACGTGACACACGAGTGCATCATGTTAAGCTGGCATGACTTTCAACTTAATTAGCGGCGAATAGTCGTGACACGTATTTTGTGAGATAAATCTCTTTCTTCGAACAGCTTATAAGATGATGTGTGACTAAAGTTACATTCACCTTTATCATCAAATATCATTGTTGCACTTATTCATATCATTATCTAAATCTCTTATTAGTAAATAAAAAATCATTTATGAGTAAACTACGATAAAAATATATAAAAAAATAAATTTTAAAATTTAAATTTAATTTATAAGCATATGTATAAGCGGAACAACGAGACTCTATATCACCATTATATTTTTACCCTTTACGAAACTATTGTTGTCTGTTTCTATCATTCAGCTGCGGGCCCAGGAATCTCAAACCATGCTGGTTCCAACTCCAAAAAGCACACGCCCTTTTTCCACTCCAGAAAGAAAGATCAAAAGAAACCATTAAAGAAAAAAAAAACAAGACAAAGATCAAAAGAAACACATGGCGTATCATCTCTGATGTGATTAAGAAAAAAAGTGTTTAGAAACAAATCAGAAGGTATTATGATCTTCTGAAAACGGCCAAAAGAAAAGATCAAAAGTTCAGTCTAATAAGCCTTGCACGCAGTAGATTTCTTCCTCTCCAGTTCATCACCTCCCCGGGAAGAAAAAAAAGAAAAAGAGAGAGAAAAAAGCGCGGGAGATTAATTGCGTTACATATCTCGATTCTTTTCAGCTCTCGTGTTTCAGACACGATCGAAATTGGCCAGCACCGACAAATCGCTCTCGTTGCGATTGTTGCGAGATTTGACTCGAGCGAGCTGTATTTAATTAGCTCCTCGTCTTGTTCTGCTAAGCTACTACTAGTACCTAGCTTAATTAGCTCGTAGCCACCATTGGCGAAATCGCGAGAGCTATAGACTTTTTGTCTCTGACGGCGATGATGGGCTCGCCGCCGGCGCCGCCGGCGCGTCGTCTTGGCGCTCTCGCCGTCTTCTTGCTCGCTCTCTTCCTCGCCGCGCCGTGGGGCGTCGACTGCGGGTACAACGTCGCGTCGGTGGCCGGGTCGAAGAACCGGCTGAGGGCGCGGCTGGAGCTCGCCGGCGGCGGCGGCGGCGCGGCGCCGGAGCTCGGCCCCGACGTGCGGCGGCTCAGCCTGACAGCGAGGCAAGTATGATTAACCTTGCTTTTCAGCACTTATCTGAGATTTGCTAGGATCGATTGTTTAGTTCTTGAGCTCTCGAGGTTGATGCTTGATTGATCGTTAGCTACTTGATTATTAAGATAGATAGAGATGCTTAATTTGATCATCCACGTAGATAAACATAATCTGGGCTGCTTTCTTGGGGTTAGTTGGATTACTGTGGTTTCTTCAAGCCGAGGTAGTATTTTTTTTTAAAAAAAATATGTATTATAAATTCGCTCAAGCAGAGCTGCAGAGGGAGTTATTGAGACGTTGATTGATTTGATTATACTAGAATAGGACAACGTACCGAATGGAGTTGTAGTTAAGTCATCAGGAAGATAAGTACAGATTATATAATAACCAAGAAAGTCTAAAGGACTGATGAAGTGATGAAATAAATGGCAAAATATTTTAGAAAACTTTTAAAAAAAGATTAAAAAAGGAAAAATCCTAATACCCCCTACAACTCACTAGTGTTCTATTTTCTCCCTTAAAACTCAATTTCATATATACAAACCCCTTTGCAACTTAATTTCATACGCAAACCCCTTCGACTCGTTTTATTGATACCTACAGTTGGATCGTACAAATAGGGAGAAATCACTGAAAAAGGAATATGGGGAAGCTAGAAGATAATTGACTTGTGTAGATTTTTATGTACGAAATTAATTTAAGGGGAAAGTAAAAATACATAAGAGCAGGTTTAATAATAGTATAGTCTTCTACCGGCGATAATTTTCTCCAGGTCATATTAGAGCAGGTACAATAGCAGGCTATAAGCCAGCTGCAAACATATTTTAAACAGATAAATAAGGAGAGAGAAAAGCAGCGGGCTACATATTCGTAGCCAGCTGTAGCACGGACTCCAAGACGCAATGTGTGTATGACAGGTGAGACCATGTATTAATAATGTAGTATGTAACTATTGTATAAATGAGCTATTAAATTGGCTATAGGTGAATTAGAGTTAGTAGTTGGCTATACTATTAAACTTGCTCTTATAGCCAGTGAAACACACTAGATTAGCTATAACATGATGGGTCCCACAATAATGTTTTGTTTTTTTTATACCCATTAGCTCTCTCTCCCGAGTGCTTTTCTTGTTGGGTTTGGTGAGGTTAGCATGCATGCACAGAGCCTATTTTGGTTTCTGTGTGTAGCCCCGCTACAAATTAATCGCCCATTTCATCCTTTCTCTCCCATTAATCGTCTGTGGCTGTGTTTAGTTCATGATAAAATTAAAAGTTTGGTTAAAATTAGAATGATGTGATGAAAAAGTTAGAAGTTTGTGTGTGTGAAAGTTTTGATGTGATGAAAAAATTGAAAGTTTGAAGAAAAACTTTGAAACTAAACACAGCCACAATTGATGTGGAGCTTTTGCAGTCTGCTGATATCACCTTGTTGTATCTGTTCTAAGAGCAAGTTAATAGAGCCGCCGGTTGCCAGTTGCAAAATAATACACCTCAGCAAAAGTAAATAAAAAGAAGAAATACTACTTAAGCTAATCATAGTTACTTTTAATATTTTATTCAACTAACTGTGCGCATCACTCGGCTTAGCTCCATCCAATTGGCTGGCCATGCCCTCCCACTTGTGGGCCCCACCACTTTGCGTTGGAGGCTGTGCTAGAGCTAGCGCTAACTGAAGGGGAAACTGTTTTAAACACTCGGGTGGACGTCCATCCGTTTCTTGCATGTCATCTAAATAGTTATAAAAAAATTTCAAACAAATTGACATGATAGATTAATATGTAATATATCATTTCACAAACATGCAAGTCGAAATTCGACTTCTACAAGTTGTAACAAAAACAATAAATTTAACTGTGAATATACGTATACTAGTTAGAGTTTGATTTGTTATTTTCGTTACAACTTGTAGAAGTCAAATTTGAACTTGCATGTTTGTGAAGTGATATATTATATATTAACCTATCTTGTGATTTTTTTTGAAATTTTTTCATAATCATTTAGGTGGCATGCAAGAAACGGGTGGACGTCCACCCGAGAAATTAGAATCCATCCTTGTCACGCCCTGAAGTTCCCCTCCCTTGCTCTAAATTCATAAAATAAATCGTCCGAAGTAATTGTTTAATTTAACCTAGAGATGAATCCCTAATTAATAAATGCAAATAATAATCGGAATCGACATGTGGAATTTTTCTTGGATTCTACATGTCAAAATATGCTAACACGATTTTTAGTGGAATTTTCAGAGCCTTGGAAATAATTTTAACCAATTAAAATGAGCAAAGGGCAATATTAAATCCCTGGAAAAATCCTTTCTTCTTTTTCTTTTTCTTTTTCCTCCTTTTTCCTCTCTTCTTGGGCCGTCGGCCCAGTCCATTCGCCTCCCGCGCCGACCTTCCCTCGGCTGGGCCGGCCCAAGCCGGCTCCTCCCTCCTCCCTAACCCCTCCGGGTCATCGACAGGTGGGGCCCACCTGTCGGCCCCTTCTTCCACCTCCCGCCGCCGCTCCCCAAGCCGGCAACCGCCGAGCCGCCCACGCCGCCCACCTCCCCCGCCTTCCGCGCCCCACTCCGCGCCCCGCGCCCACGTCGCCGCCCACCATCCCCACTCCTCCCACTCGCGCGTGCACCCCGCAACGGAGGGATTCGAATTCGAATCTCTCTCTCTCTCTCTTTCTCTCCATTCCCCACGTCGGCGAGAAATCCGGCCGCCTCCCGGCCTCGTCCGCCCCTCCCGAGCCCATATAAACCATCCCTCCACTCCCCTCCACCTTTTCCTCTTTCCACCGCTCCCTCCCGTGCCCTCTATCGCTCCCGCCGCCACCGCCTTTTCCACTCCTCCGGTCGCCGCTCGCTGCCGCTGGAGCCGCCGCCGAGCCAATCTGCCGCCGCCATTAGCTTCGCCGCCGCCAAAGCTACCCCAGCCGCCGCATCCCCATCCAATCCCGCCGTCGGGGCCCGCTTCTCCCCGCGCGCCGGTGAGTACCACCATAGCCGCCGCCGTCGGCCATGGCTCTCGCTCGTCGTGGGCACCCTCTCTCCCTCTAACCTCTCACACTTCCTCTCTTAGGGTGTCCCGGAGCTCGGCCGCCGTTCGCCGTCACCCTCCGGTCGCTCACCATCGCCGTTTGCCGTCGTCTCCTCCCGCGCCGGCCGAACCCCGGTGAGAACTCCCTCTCTCTTCCTCCCGCGCGCGCCGCCGCTCCCCGCATGCGCGTCGCCGCGATGCACCGTCGCCCGCGTCGCCGGCCGCCGCCGTCGGTGGCCGCTTGCCGCCGCCGCCCTCGCCTTAACCGGCCGGCCGGCTTGAAGCCGAGCCGAGCCAGGCCGCCTTCCTCCTTTCCCCATGAGTCGCCGCCCGGTGGGCCCCACCTGCCAGTACCCCTCCCTCCACCTTGAGCCGCTGACCAGTGGGGCCCGCATGTCGGCGCCACCCCCACCCCTTGCTGACGTCAGTCCTGGGATGAATTATTGCGCAATAAATACATTAAGGCTTTTTCTTTATTAGTAAAAACACAGATAATCTTCTAAAAATCATAACTAATTCGTTCGAGCTCCGTTTAAGCCCATTCAAGTCTCAGTAAAACAAGAAAAATGTGTAGAATCCATTAAAAATGGTTTTGTTCCCTGTTTCAGTAGTCTTATAGCCTGTTTGCAATGTTTGCCTCGTATGTCGCTAGATTCCGGTTCCTCCGACGCTCCGGTGTACTTCGAAATAGTCGCCGAGGTTCCTCCAGCAGCAGAGCAAGGCAAGTCATGCTTGTCACTTGAACATGTTGATCCTATATTGCAAATGCTCTATGGTTTTCCTTCAAATATTACATTGTTTTATAATGTTTCTATGGGGTGTTTACCTATTGTCATAGCCATGCTATTGTTGTACCATGTCCCTTTGTCAGCTTGGGGGTTAAAACATGACTAGAGATTGGACTAGGGATTGCTTAGCCATGCTTAGTTCAACTAGTGCACAATAGGGAGAATCCTATTAATGTTTAGACTGTTGGTTCTAATGGTATTGTTGGATTAGCGCCACCGCTATGGTGTTGGTTAATTAAAATACACTACATGGTGAGCTGTGGGTGCATGATTTTGCTAGTCGTGCCCATGGCGATTAAGGACCGGTTCGCGGGATGCCCTGGAAGAACTTATCGTGCTTACCACAAGCCAGCGTGGGCAACGGCTGGGCTTGTAGTGTAGCTTTTCTCTAGCCGACGTACCCAGGCGAGGGTGGGCGTGATGGAGTTGGGTCGGCCGGGGTGTCCGGTTGATCGGCTTCCGGATTCACCGCGGCACGAAAGGGGGGTTGCCCGTTGCCTGCTGGGGACGGGGGCGAACCCTAAGGTGTGGTGCGATCGGTTAGAGAGGGTTATGCGAAGGGTCATGTCACGGCCTCTTTCCGGTATGTCGTGGTGGCATGTCGGCGCACGGGAACGTGTCGTGGGGCTGTGTCTTGTGGGTACAGTTGTATACCTCTGATCAGAGTAAAACTATTCGAATAGCCGTGCCCGCGGTTATGGGCGGTCGACCAGATTCACCGTGATTAGTCTCACCCCTAGTTTAGCTTAATTAACTGGTGTAGTTCAGGTGGTTGGTTGGGCCTGTTGCAACGTGGCGTAGCGTTGGACAGTGACTGGTTAATATTGCTTAATTACTACAACTGTTTTTACTGTTTTCAACTACTGGTTTTAAATGCCTGCTTTATGCAAATGAACCCCGTAGCCTCCTTTGGTTATATCCTGCATCATACTTCCTCTTCCGGTATGACTTGCTGAGTACAGTGGGTAGTACTCAGTCTTGCTCTTTTCCCTCACACCAGAGTTGAAGTTCTTCTCAGTTGGAGATGTCTTGAAGAGGTTGGTTTCGTCGCTGCCGTCAAGGGTTGCCTGTGGAATGGAATCGCCCGCTGTAGGAGTCAAGTCTTCAGGCTTAGCTCGCTTTTACCTTTTTCGCTGCGTTTGTAATCTTTTATATTTTTGTAAGACGTGGATCCGTATGTCAACAATTGTCGTTTGTGTACCCTGGCTGGTCCTGGACAGGGGTTTAATACACATTCAGCTTAGAAATTCTGGTTCGTGAATTTCTGGGCGTGACAATCCTCCTGACTGAAGCGCTCGCCTTTGCCTTTCCTAACCTTCTCTCCCTTCCATGTCAGCACTGATATAATATTTAAAGTCTTACCGCCTACTATTATACCTGCTCTAAGGAAGTATTTGGATTCTCGAGTGGAAGAAAGGTGAAAAAGCTTATCATAGAAGCGCCAGAATATTTTTGGGAAATAAAAAACCGAAAAAAAGAAAGGCTAAAACAGAAAAAGAATCGCAAAAACATCTCAAAAACTTGTTGCTCGATCACGGTGGGGACTCGATTCCGGAGGCGAGCGCTGCAAACTCGATTCCACAATCCATTAGGCCACGCGACCACTGCAAAATTGACCCTAATTACTATCTATAATCACCGTTATTTTATTATTTTATTTTTGGCTCGCTGGCGGCAGCCTGGAGACGGACAGCCGGCTACACGTCCGCATCACCGACGCCGACCACCCTCGATGGGAGGTGCCCCAGGACGTCATCCCGCGCCCCTCGCCGGACTCCTTCCTCGCCGCCACACGCCCAGGCGGCGGCCGCGTCCTCTCCACGGCGACCTCCGACCTCACCTTCGCCATCCACACCTCCCCGTTCCGCTTCACCGTCACCCGCCGCTCCACCGGTGACGTCCTCTTCGACACCACCCCAAACCTCGTCTTCAAGGATCGCTACCTCGAGCTCACCTCCTCGCTGCCGCCGCCCGGCCGCGCGTCGCTGTACGGCCTCGGCGAGCAGACCAAGCGCACGTTCCGGCTCCAGCGGAATGACACCTTCACGCTCTGGAACTCCGACATCGCCGCCGGCAACGTCGACCTCAACCTGTACGGCTCCCACCCCTTCTACATGGACGTGCGCTCCGGCGGCGGCGGCGGCGGCGGCGCGGCGCACGGCGTGCTCCTCCTTAACAGCAACGGCATGGACGTCATCTATGGCGGATCCTACGTCACCTACAAGGTGATCGGCGGCGTGCTGGATTTCTACTTCTTCGCCGGCCCGTCCCCTCTCGCCGTCGTCGACCAGTACACCCAGCTCATCGGCCGACCTGCCCCCATGCCGTACTGGTCATTCGGTAAGCTAGCTCTCTGTTTTGCTCTGCTTCTTCAGTTCTTCTTGCTTGATCTCGCCGCCGCCGACATTGTCGCGTTCGTCGTTGCAGGGTTCCACCAGTGCAGGTACGGGTACAAGAACGTGGCTGATCTTGAGGGCGTCGTCGCCGGCTACGCCAAGGCGAGGATCCCACTGGAGGTGATGTGGACGGACATCGATTACATGGACGCCTACAAGGACTTCACGCTTGATCCGGTGAACTTCCCGGCCGACCGGATGCGGCCGTTCGTCGACCGCCTCCACCGCAACGGCCAGAAGTTCGTCGTCATCATTGACCCAGGTACGTACACAAGCTCGATCGATCGCGTCAATGGCGAAATCTCGGTGATCGATGACGTCATCAATGGCGGGTTGTGTTTGTAGGGATCAACGTGAACACGACGTACGGGACGTTCGTCCGGGGAATGAAGCAGGACATCTTCTTGAAGTGGAACGGGAGCAACTACCTCGGCGTGGTGTGGCCGGGGAACGTCTACTTCCCGGACTTCCTCAACCCGCGCGCCGCCGAGTTCTGGGCGCGCGAGATCGCCGCGTTCCGGCGGACCCTCCCCGTCGACGGGCTGTGGGTCGACATGAACGAGATCTCCAACTTCGTCGACCCGCCGCCGCTCAACGCGATCGACGACCCGCCGTACCGCATCAACAACTCCGGCGTGCGCCGCCCCATCAACAACAAGACGGTGCCGGCCTCCGCCGTGCACTACGGCGGCGTGGCCGAGTACGACGCGCACAACCTCTTCGGCTTCCTCGAGGCGCGGGCCACGCACGACGCGCTGCTCCGTGACACCGGCCGCCGGCCGTTCGTGCTCAGCCGCTCCACGTTCGTCGGCTCCGGCAGGTACACCGCTCACTGGACCGGCGACAACGCCGCGACGTGGGAGGACCTCCACTACTCCATCAACACCATGCTCAGCTTCGGCCTCTTCGGCATCCCCATGATCGGCGCCGACATCTGCGGCTTCGGCGGCAACACCACCGAGGAGCTCTGCAGCCGCTGGATTCAGGTAACAAAACACGTCGAGCTCTCGTGTCCTCCATTAATGGCGTAAGTAAGTTTGAGCTTGATTTGTGCGTTTGAAGCTTGGCGCGTTCTACCCGTTCTCGAGGGATCACTCGGCGATCGGCACCGTCCGGCGAGAGCTGTACCTGTGGGAGTCGGTGGCGAGGTCGGCGAGGAAGGCGCTCGGCCTGCGCTACCGGCTGCTCCCCTACTTGTACACGCTCATGTACGAGGCGCACACCACCGGCGCGCCCATCGCGCGGCCGCTCTTCTTCTCCTACCCCGGCGACGTCGAGACGTACGGCATCGACAGGCAGTTCCTGCTCGGGCGCGGCGTGCTCGTGTCGCCGGTGCTCGAGCCGGGCGCGACCACCGTCACCGCCTACTTCCCGGCCGGACGGTGGTTCAGCCTCTACGACTTCTCCCTCGCCGTCGCCACGAAGACCGGCAAGCGCGTGACGCTGCCCGCGCCGGCGGACACGGTGAACGTGCACGTCGCCGGCGGGAACATCCTGACGCTGCAGCAGCCCGCGCTGACGTCGTCGCGCGTGCGCCAGAGCGTGGTCCACCTCCTGGTCGCGCTCGCCGACGACGGCACGGCCACCGGGGATCTCTTCCTGGACGACGGCGAGTCGCCGGAGATGGCCGGGCCACGGAGCAGGTGGAGCCAGATCAAATTCAGCGGCGCGACCGAGAGCGGCGGCGGCGTGGTCAGAGTGAGGTCGCATGTGGTGCACGACTCGTACGCGCCGAGCCGGACGATGGCCATCGGCAAGGTGGTGCTCATGGGGCTCCGGTCGGCGGCGCCGCCCAAGGGGTTCGCCGTTTATGCCAACGGCGTCCAGGTGAACGCGAGCACGGCGGTCGGCGGCGCCGCCGGGAGCCCGGAGAAGGGAGCGCTGGGCGTCGCGCACGTCAGCGGGCTGACGCTGGTCGTCGGGCAGGAGTTCGATCTCAAGGTCGTGATGACCTATTAATTAAGCCTTAGAATTCGAGCATTATTAATAGCTCATCTGAATAAAAATTGACGAAATTGAGTTGGAATAAATCGGCCTAAAATTGAGCATAATTCTTCTTGTTTTCCCCACAATTTGGAAACTTTTGCGGCTATCAGGCCCAACACCGTACTCTAACTGACGGCCCATTTAATACTCAGCCCAACTTGGGGCGACACCAATGTGCGCAACTGGACATCTTGTTCAGGCCGAGAAAAGCCCAATACTACAGTGAAACCGGGCTGACAAGGTTCAAATGGGCCGGAATTATCCAGAGAAGCTTTGCTGTTAGTTTTATTTTCTTCTTCTTTTTCCCCCCGACATGTTAGATCAAATAAATTTGAACTGAAAATTATCGCTTGTAGTAATAATGAAAAGAAAACGATTTTTTCTGTTGTGTGAGACCGACATCGCCTCGTAGATTGTCCTAACACATTGCTACTCCGATTGCTCCCTTTGGATTTTGACTCGACACCAAAGTGAAATCACTGAATTGTTCAAGCACATCAAGGCCAATTGAGGCGTTTTCAGCGTCCATAGAATCAGCAACAGTTTAGAAAACGACCATTGTCTTTCTTTTGGAAGGTAAGCATGAACAGAGTAATTAATTGAAGAGATTGAGTCTATTCCATGTCTATCCATGCCCCTAAAGATTGAGACAATAAGTGTTTTTTTTATCTGCAATGACAAACAAATCAACGTCGTATCATTGTCTGATATGATTGGGTTCACCAGCCACCGAATGACATTGCTACCCCTCACAAGTTTCACGTTTGTGTAAAAATACATACTCCCTCCGTCCCACAATATAAGGGATTTTGAGTTTTTGTTTGCAACGTTTAACTACTCGTCTTATTTAATTTTTTTTGCAAATATAAAAAACAAAAAGTTGTGCTTAAAGTACTGTAGATAATAAAGTAAGTCACAAATAAAATAAATAATAATTTCAAAAAAATTTTGAATAAGATGAGTGGTCAAACGTTACAAGCAAAAACTCAAAATCCTTATATTATGGGACGGATGGAGTATTATTTTTATTATATTTTGTTGCAGTTGTGCACGTTTGTGTAAAAATACATATTATTTTTATTATATTTTGTTGCAGTTGTGCTCTTCAGGACCAAAAGAACAACTCAAGTTGTTTATTTGATCAATAGATCACTGCAATTAATGACCTGTAAAGCAAAAGACATTGTTATTTCAGGCTTTCAGCATCACATAGAGAACATATTACCACCGTATTTTCTTCTTGTGTATATACTACTTTCTCTGTTTCTAAATATAAATATTTATAATTATTCGTATGCATAGTTAGAAATATTTATATTTAGTAACGGAGGTAGTAACTGCCAATAAAGTTTATATATGTTCTACAAATGTGCGGTTCTGTGTGAATTATTGGTTGAAATGATTGAGATGGGGACGTTGAAGAGCTAGCAAGGCCAACAAAGGAGAGGTGTGAGATCAGTTGAGATGCTAATCAATGGTGTGCAATGGTGTGCAATAATTAATCTTTAGTCAGAGTGGTACTTGTGAAGTAATAATAGCAGAATATATGTACGTCATCCATGCACAACAGCACAACACTGTGCGGAAGCTTAACTGAAGACCTAGCTAGACAATTAGCAGATCAATGCAGATGGTTGGCGAAGAATTAAATTGCAGAACACTAGATCAATGCAGATGGTTGGCGAAGAATTAAACTGCAGAACACTAGAGAGGCCCCGCAAGTATGTGGAGAAGTGGTTTCTCCAATACTATAACATTAGCTCATATGTCATCCACTATGTCACAATGATTTTATGTTAGAGGATTCCGCTCGAAAAAGGATTTTTTTTCTAATGTAACTACACACCGTGACATTGCAGCAACTATACCTGTAAGCTTTAGGAGGCTGACAGGTGGGACCTACCATGTACTCCTCAACCAGTCTGGCTAGATATCCTGAGCTGCAACAGCCATCACTATGCATGGACTGTTTGGCATGTCTGTACTCTGTACTCCATAGTGGAGATAAGTACAGGCCCAACTACTTGAATTCATTGGTTAGGCTGGCAACTGCATCATTAATACTACTATGTAAGGATCAGAATTATTTATATATGTGGATATAAAACAAAGTACACCCTTTGATTTTTTTTATGCTTAATGATGATTGGGGTATAGGAGTATCTTCCATGCATATCAAGGTAGTGGTAGTGGCATCGAAATGGATTAAGGAATGAAAATATTGCTACTTAATGTTATTAGTTGGTGGCTTGTGTGTACTTGCAGAGTTGCCGTGTTATTATATATGATTCACATGTTGGTGGTAAACAGTTTATAGTTTCTTAGTAAGTAATCTCAGTCTAATAGTTTATTTTAGTTAGTTAGTAGTAAACGGTTATTTAAGGTCAAGAGGCGTGATAAACTCATGACATACGTGTGAACTTAAATCCCTTTCACAAGATATATTAAAAGAATCACCAGTTACGACTTCTGTCTTTCTTTTTGTCCACTTGGGAGGGATATATCGATCGAGCATTTTTTTTCCTTTTCATCAGATCAACTAAAATTAATAGATATCAATGGACAAATTTGCATGTATGAACTAATTACACTCCTTTTCATATACCAAGCTCACTTGATTGACTAATTTTTATACGTAGACTTTTATTTATTGACTAAGGCTGCGTTCGGCAGCTTTGTGTTCCCAGCTGCATCTCCTTCGTTTTCCGCGTGCACGCTTCCCAAACTGCTAAACGATGTGTTTTTTGCAAGAAATTTCTATACGAAAGTTGCTTTAAAAATCATATTAATTCATTTTTCAAAAAAAAATTAACTAATATTTAATTAATCACGTGCTAATGAACCAGCTCATTTTACGTGTTTGGAGGGAGAGTTCCCAACTTCCTACCGAATACAACCCAACCTTATTCACTTGCACCAGACAATCCTGGGAGGTCATAACCAGGAAAAAGAAGAAAAAAAAGACCACCACCCACACACCGACAGCACCAATACACAGACCCGGGAGAAGGCTAGCACCGAAACGACTGCCGCTAAGCGTGACCGGCTTCAACGGTGATCAACGAACTTGTTCATGCGCATGCCAATACGCTATCCACTACTCGAAAAAGGGTTTTTTTTTACAACACCCATTTTAAGTTTTACAATCCTGGGAGGTCATAACCATGAAAAAAAAGAAGAAAAAAAGACCACCACCCACACACCGACAACACCAATACATAGACCTGGGAGACCGAACCAATCGCCGCTAAGTGTGACCGGCCTCAATGGTGATCAATGAACTTGTTCATGCACATGCCAATACGCTATCCACTACTCGAAAAACAGTTTTTTTAGGACACCCATTTTTTATTTTTACAGACGAGCTGAAAAATACTCGCCTATAAAAACGTACCGGGGTTTTTGGTCAAGGATCGCTTGCGGATCGTAGTGTGCCAATGTGGTAACCAGATTTAATCGAGCAACAAAATTAAAATTGATGGCAAGTTAACAAACTAATGTATGGTACAGTCAGAATATTACATGTTTATAGAATTGGTTTGGTTATTTTTATTTTGGTATACATTTATGCTTATTTGTATTCAGCAAATTAAAAAAATAGAAAACTATTAATATATAGAACATAAGGACAGTAAAAGAAGATTCTAGCTCTATTGATATATACCATTAATTTTAGCATCATGCACTAATTTTTTTTATCACACCCTAGTACACAAATAATGTATTTACATCATTGATGATGATAATATCTCTTTTGATCACCCCTTTTTTTTTGCAAATAATGTGAACTAGAATGGTACTATACGTCTATATCACAATTACATGCAATAGCACATAAGCACACTTTAAGAGTTTCCTCCTCAATTCGCAACAATCAATATATATCTCCTTCGAAATTAAATCAACTGAGTGAGTTCCACATTTGTGTGAAGCCACTCTCAGCCAAGTAATCAAATCCATCCTGGGAAAAATTACTTTGAAGGGCCTCCCTCTTCACATTGCCTTCAAACTTGGTGAATTGGCTCAGCACATCCTTGATCGCCCTACCCATATTGTTTTGCTCTTGATCAACCATGGCCGATGTCAACGGAACATTCATCGACGACGATGGCTGTTGAGAGGGATTATTGGAGAAGCAGGGCACTTGCTCATAACCCTCTAGGTTTTGCATTGAACCAGGCTGATCAAATGCAATGTAGTTGTCAGTGAGGGGAGGCAGTGAAGTTGTGGCCACACTGTCAATATTGTTGTAGCTACCCTCCGTTGGCAGCTTGGCAATGGTTGTCCTACTCTTGTAGAAGACTCTACACAAGACCCAGTCCTCCTGTTCACATAAAAACATTGGATGAAGATTACATTTATGATAAATAAGTAGTTTGTTTTAATTCTCTTCTATTAATTGTTTGGAGAGAGCATCTCACACATTAAGAAATTATTGGAAAGAGACATGAATGCTTTATAGAACTGAGTCAATAGTTGCACATGCATCTATTGAGGTGTATCTAGAAGAGAACATAACTCATTTAGAGCTGGCATGAGAGTGACATGGAAGTAAAGAATAACTTCCAAATTAAAATTGAACCTCGTTAGCATTAACTAATAACATCATGTCAATATATTAAGTATCGATGATGTTCTAATCATAAAAAATGAGATACTTAGCATATTCACCTCCTCATATGACACCTAAATTATCATGAAAGTGTGCTTAAATTTGGTATTTCTCACTTTTCAATCATGAAGTTATGAGATCAGGAGAGGACATGTACACAGATAGTTGTCATTCCATTATCCATTGCATATGTGTTATTCAAATGAAGAACAACTTGGCATTCCAGTCGGTCTCCTTCTTGTGTAATAAATATCATATGAAGTTAATTATTTAATTAATAATTCTTTATTTCATACTGACTACCAAACCCGATACTTCTCGCTTGTACAAAGTCTATTATATTTTAGACATCATATACATATATAATATATACAAGAATCAACAAATAAGTGCATAAATAAAGGATTGGCTTGTACAAAGTCTATTATATTTTAGACATCATATACATATATAATATATACAAGAATCAACAAATAAGTGCATAAATAAAGGATTGGCATCTAGTAAATGGATATTTTACATGGAGAATCCAACAAAGGAATAATATTTATATTTATAAATTAAGAATGTATTAAAAATATAATACGTACCTTGAGAGGCAACTTCATCGGATCCCCTTGTCCTTCTTTGCGGAATTCATGCATGACCCACTCGGTCTTCTTCCCCTTAGGGGCTCTACCTTTGTAGAACACCAGGGTTTTTCGCATACCGACGAGCAATCCTTTCCGGCTTATTGGGCGATCTTTTCCTGTGGCCTTCCAGTAGCCCGATTCGGTTGCTCTATTTGTTCGTTGGCCAGTTGCATACTTCCTATCCCTAAGGCTATAGAAGTACCACTCCTTGCCACCAACGCAAGCGATCTCTGAATGCAAGAAAAAATAAACAATCAACAAAAGACTAACATATAATTTCAGAAAAATGTAAAGCCATTAATTAGCCTAATGATCAATTTACTCATAAACATGGAAACACAAACTTGGCTAATTATTAGCATAGCCATCTAAGTAAGAAAGACAACTAGAAAGTACGTACAAGAGAAATCAACACAATTAATATAGAGAAAATTTGCATTAACAATTGATGCATGTACGTGTTGAGAAGAGACGAGAAGAGAGGGTTAGGGGGGGTATGAGGAGGAAAAGTACAATGAGCTAGCTAGGAACAGCATCATATTTGCTATTTTTTCGAAAGGTCTATATAGAATCAATTAATTATCGTATTTATCCCATTCAGCACACATTTTTCTTTAATTTATAACCTTTTTACATGATTTCCTGGCTATATTCTACTAATAGGCAAAGTGAGAGGGCCTCTTTTGGTGTTAAGTTTGTCCCCATCCACTGGCTGTTAATTCCCTTTAAGGATCAGGCAAAGTGGGAGAATATTTGATTGCATGGCAGCAACAGGGACAGATAAGGAGGAGAAGGCCAAGAAGAGGCCAAACAAACTCATAGCAGTGAGAATATCCTTCTGTTATGGGGAGGAGAAGGCGACAAGATGGAGGCAGACAAGACGTGTGAATTTTGTTCTCGTTTGTAGATTTCAGGAAAATCATCTGATCAAGCTAGCTAGCTAGCCTCCACTTGAAACAGAATTTAAAAAATGCCGGACTGTTTTGTTTGTAACAAACAAATCATTAGCCACCCCACAAATTTATGCATTTTAATTTGGGGCATGTGATCTCACTATCTGATATTTCTTGCGTTGGCTCAAGACTTTTCAAACGGTTAGCTTGCAGCTATATGTACACAAACAGAGAGAAACATTAAATGTTGTGGCAAAAAAAAATAATTCCAATAACTAAAAACAAATTAAGGGCATGGGCACACCCCAAAAAAAGGGGGCAAAAAAGGGGGAGGAACTAAAGAAAAAGAGAAGGCATGATTCTTGAGGTATGGGAAGCTAGCATGTATGCATAGTTGAAATATGCAACTTGATCTATATATGAGAGTTGCAGAAGAGGTCATGATCACTTCAGTTATGGCTACCTTTGCTGTAGAAAAGGATCAACTGACATGCATACATGGACAGGCATCACCTTCAATTTGGATGCAATTGATTGGATCAAGAAGGTAGCTACTACTATACTAGTATATATCTGTGCCCATTGAAGGAAAAACATTGGAGGCATGTAGGAAAGGAACAAAGAGAATTTTCTTGGAATAGATAGAAGTTATGGTTGGTTCCAAGATCTTGTTCTTTTTGTACATCAAGAAAAAGAGAGAAAAGATGAGTTGTTACCAAGATCTTGAATTCAAGTACTGATTTCTGCAGAACCAACTGCAAGTTAGCTAGCTAGATAAACACATGATTGGCAACCTTAGATGCGTGTGTGCACAAACAGCTAATAATTGTGGAATGATCAGTTGATCTTATTCTAAAACTGACAGAATTCTGCAGGCTGCTGGGTCCTAGCTAGCTAGTACATGGAAAGACTTGTCTGTTTAAACAGATCATCATACCATTATTGATTCTATCATATAAATATAGAATCATAGGGTGATTTGTTTTTAGAGGTAGAACAAATCAAAAGGTTGTTAATTTGAGAAGCCTAGCTACCGATCTATAGAGAAATTAAACAAAAACTACACGAAAAACAGCACGCGGTTAATTTTCCCCCCTCAAAAAAAAGCACACGAATTAATTCATTTCAGAGCAGATCAATCAGTAGAGAGAAAGAATCTGGAAGAAAAAAACTCAAACCAATCATGGCCATGAACAAGCACGCATATGATGATCCAGAGGCGGTGGAAGACGAGAAAGAAGAGCAAGATCACCACGACATGAGTAGCATGGATGCAAGCAAGCAAGCTCGATGATCTATGATCTGTAGCTAGCTTATAGCTAGGTCTTACCAGGAAGGTCCCATGGCTCGCACTTGTTGAGATCGACGTCGACCATCACCGGGCAGCCGTAGATGGTGACCGCCGCCGCCGCCGCCGCGGCGCCGCCCACGCCGCCGTCGAGGAGCTTCCTTTCCAGGTAGTCCAGCACGAGCTCGTCGTCTCGCGGGTGGAACCTGAACCCCGGCGGCAGCCTCGCCTCCACCATGCTCAGCGAATTCATCCCGCTCATGCCCACCCCCTCCTCCTCGAATTCCTTGAGATGCTGGATCGACGAAGACGACGACTACCGATGCTGCTCCAAGAACTCCAATTAAGAAGAACTCGAAGAAGAACAAGAAAGGAGATCAATTCTACCTCTACCAAGAGAGAAATTCAGGAGGGGAGAAGAGAGAGAGGAAGGGGTATTAATAGGATGGTAAACAACGAACTCGATCAGCTAGCTGGTTGGTCAACCAGTGTGTGTTGATGAAGAAGAGAGGAGAGGAGAGAGAGACTTTTCTTGGTTCGCGTGCCAGATGCCATGTGGCACGCCATAACTCGCTAATTAGGCCGTGATCTCGAGCGATGATGAGCTCAGCGGCTGATCATGTCATGCTCGTTCGCATGCATCGCTGATGATGCACACGCACGCGCGCATGTACTGTACAGCCATGGATCGATGGATGCACAGTTCGTCGAGCATTTTCTTTCTTTCAGTGGCAATGCATTAATTTCAGGACACACTGACCTAACCAGTGATTACCTAACAGATGATCGATCTCGATCTATCTCGGCTCGATCATATCTCAGCTTTGATTATTGCTTCGCCTAATTCGCATTTGCAACTGGATCGATCCAGAGATGGATGGATCATCGATATGATGCTGTCTGCTGCTGCATGCAGATGCATGGTAAGGTATGGGCTGTTGGGCACGAAGGGTAGCTAGCTAGGTGTTCACATATGCAGGGAGAAACTAGTTAGTTAGTCGTCTACTAATTGCCTTTTGATAGTTGCTTCAGTTCAGACAAAGCTAAAATTGCTACGCGTACAAAAGAGAAAAAAAACCATATATATTTAAGCTGTATATATGAAACATGGACCTACAACACATAGGAGGACTTATCTTACAATCCTTATATATCTCTGTCCAAAAAATAGTTTATTTCTGACTATGCATCTGGAAACGCTAAAAATACATTCTTTTTATTTATTTATTAACTGGATGGACGATGGGGTAATATTCTATTAATTTCTTCCAATAAATTGAATCCTCATGTTCGAAACAAAGAAAAACTACTACCTATGTTTCATATTATAATCCATTTGATTTTTTTTCTAAGTCAACATTCTTTAATTTTGACCAAATTTATATAAAATATAATAATATTTTCAAAATAAAATAAAGAAATTATAAAATTATATTCAATATTAGATTTAGTAAAAGTATGTTAGTATGGTAAATATTGTTATATTTTCTAAAAAAATCAAAACGATTTATAATATGAAACGGAGAGAGTCCACAAACTTCTTATTTAATTTATTTATTTATGCATTCTACTACATATATAGTCTTAAAAAATATGCATTCTTGTACGTGAAACTGTGGTATCCATAGCAATTTCGTTGACACAAAGTTGTGCTTACCAACAGCAAAAGTTGTTCATTCAAGCTAGTAAAGCAGGAGGGATGGGAGGGAGATACCAATACGTGCATGTATCCAAAGTAAGCATGCAGGGTAAAGGTTTCCGGTAAAGCAACGAGATATTTTTGCCCAAACAATTAAAGTTTCCAGAAATTATTCCTTCTTTTTTTTTTGAAAAAGTCCGTGTTCGATCGATCGAACACATCTTTTTCACCAATCATAGTAAAGCAGCAGAGATCACCATCACCATTTAACCAGTATTCCCTCCGTTTCAAGTTATAAGACGTTCTAACTTTGGTTAAAGTCAAACTGTTTTATGTTTGACCAAATTTATATAAAAAAATAGTATCATTTTTAATCAAGAAAAAATTACTATAAAAATATATTTAATTATTGATTGTATGAAACTAATTTAGTATTATAAATATTATACTATATTTATCTATAAACTCAATCAAAGTTATAACAATTTAATTTTGACCAAAGTCAAAACGTCTTACAACATGAAATGGAGGAAGTAGTAATTAAGCAATTAATCAACGGTTAATAATTAAACAATGATAATCATGTTCGATTCTAAAATCTCAATGACAATAAATAAGGGAGGCAGCGGGTGAGCCATAGAGGAGTAAAATGGCAAAGCCGGTGACGGTTTGGCGGAACTTCTAGAAAGTAAAAATGAACCCAAACGATAATTATGTTCGATTTTTAAAATCTCAATGAGAATAAAGAGAAGAAACAGTGGACGGACCGTAGAGGAGTATAATGGCACCGTTTGACGAGACTTCTAGAAATTATAAAAATGAAACCCAACGTGACAATAAACTCTAAAAACTATAAAATCTAATTTTTAAAGGTTCCAATAAGAATTAATAGAAATAGTGGTATATCGAGCAAGCCAATAAAGAAGGAGATGACATAAGAGGTAGCAACTGGTGTGACTTTTAAAAACTATATAATTAGAAACACGAGGATGATTAGGTTTGGTCTTTCAAAGTCTTAAGACAATAAGATAGCTATTTAATAAATTTTTAAGTAAAATCATACTTAAAAAATATATATGATTTTGTTTAGGTGCTAGCCGCGCAATTGCACGGGCCACCCAGCTAGTTAAGCAATTAACCAACGGTTAATAATTATTTGCAGCATGTGTACGTATCAGTGGAACCGACCTTAATTATGAAATTAAAGGAGGTATATCGGACTCGAGGCATGTGCGTAATTACGGAACTTGAAGGGGTTATAATTCAACGTGGAGCCGTACGTCAACATCAGCAGGATACGTATTCTCGCCCCCAAATACGTACTATATACCTAGTGTTTTTTACGTGCGGAATACGTATTTTTTTTTCGAAGACCCAGTATTCACCACGTACAACCTCGATCGAACACTTGAAAAATGCAAATTCTTCTGCTGGTAATTCATCCCGAATCAGATTGAGCAAGACGTGCCCAGATACTTCACTACCAAATTATACCTCGGATTATTAATTTACTCCGAACGTATCTAATTAAATATATGTTTTCTCCTGCTACATTTTTTTAAGGATTTTACCACATTTAATTAAACCAATTGTTTTAAGTTTATTTTTTAAAATATTTAATTTATTTCTTCTATAATAAAATAGATAATTTATAGCAATAATCCGATCAAATATATCTTACACGGGCCATACTCTGACATATTTAATGTTTTATTTTATTTTTTGTAGAGTTTGTTGCGCAGATATATTTGTTGATTGAATTCGATGAAGATTTTAGATTCTTAATTGAATCTCAGAAATTATTTCTTGATTAATTTGGTGATAAATATATTTGCAGAGGCCAGCTATCTCGGCCGGCAAGAGGCTGGCCCACGTCACGGCCGGGTCGGGCTCGTACGAACCGCGTCGGAATCAGGCGACCCGAGCCGGACACGTCAGCATGTGGGCCCACCACTCCCTTACGGCCACGTGGCCAGCACATGCCCAACCCATCGCCATCCGATCGCGATCGTAGGGTCAATACGCACCGTCCTCCCTGGGTCCCCATCGTGAACGAACACTCCGTCGCCGTCCGATCGCGATCGGACGGCAGCCACAGGTCCACATCATCACACCACAGTGACACGCACGGACACAGTACAGCCACGATGAACTGCAAGTTGACGTTTGTTTTTACTGCACATAATTCTACGTTTTTGTAGTGGACACAGCACACAATTATCTGAGCTGATCGACAGCAGCATCAAAGCCTCTTCACCTATCACCATCTTCAGGCCTGTTCTTGTTCTTTTTAGCTTCTTCATCAGATTTATTAGATTATTGAAACCGATTATTTGGTTTAAAATATACTCCTCCTTTTTTTAATATATGACGCCGTTGACTTTTTTAAATATTTTGATCATTCGTCTTATTCAAAAAATTATGTAATTATCATTTATTTTGACTTAATTTATCATCAAATGTTATTTAAGCATGGCTTAAAGAGTTTATATTTGCACAAATACTTTAAATAAGACACATGTTCAAACGTTGGTCAAAATGGCGTCATAAAAAAAACGGAGGTAGTTTGTTTTTAAAAGGACTTCTTCTATTGCAATTTTTTTCTTTTTAAATCGTTAGATTGTTTTGACCACTTATTTTAAACTATTTATTATTTTTTTAAAAAAAAATAATCTTATCGATATAATCAAGTGGATAATCTGCATCACAATCTGCTCAACATTGTCACATTGCAGCAACGATGTGTTCATCGTCATGTTGCACCGATGGCTAAGTTTCCGTCACCTTCTGGTCCAAGAACTGTACCCCCAAATCAGGAAAAAGACACAATCTATACACATCAAACTACAACAAATACATTTCACTATGTTATTATATACCAGGGCATTTGCGGTGGAGCGAATGAACTGGCCGGTGCATGCAACTCAATCGGGCGAGAGCGAATATGCGAGACCGGGGAGGATGGACAGCTGGGTTGGATTTGGCTGGAGGTGCAACAGACTGGGTGAAGTTAGGCTGGGTGATGACATAAGGATCGCACGGCAGTTTGGAGGGCATGGCACGGGCTTTTGGACACAATTGAGGTTCAAAAACCGGTCCCTGCCGGCCTCACCTGTCATCCGGCAACGCCACAGTAGATTTCGTCATGTGGCCAAATTGATCATCAAACGTGGAAAAATTCATTCATTCATTGATTAATTTAGTTAGAGCCTTGCAAAAAAAGAAAGAAAGATATGCATAAATTGATTAGAGGAATAATAATGGAGTGCCGATATATTTTTCTCGTTTTTTTTTTCATGCATCGATTCGATTCCTTCCTCTTTTTGTTGATGGATTGTTTGGTACCTTTTGGGCTCGTCTAGATTGAGCATCAAAGCATATTGATTGCAGAGGAATTGCTGCTGAAAAGAAGCATCTATTCCCGGGGAGAAGAAAAAGAGAGAAGAGTGGTGAAAATGGAGAAAAGAGAGCCGTCACATTGTCAATTTGCCGTTCAAGAATCAAGATTTCAATAGTAGGCTAGTATAGTTCACTGAAAAAGCAGCCGCAGTCTTGGCAACTTTCTGTTCCAGTTTTCAAGCAGCTTTTTTTGTCAGTAATGCAGCAACCATCACCCCCAAACACCTTGCGTACTTTGACCAAAATACAAGCCTAAACCCATCTCATTGTTAGTATAAAATTAGTGTTACTGACTTGATCCAATGGCTGCTAATAGTAGTAGTAGTAGTATTTTTTTTCCTTTTTGTTGTTTATCAGAAGGCAAGTTGATGTGTTCTAAACAAAAACTTGAGAGCAGCTGATGTGAAGTTAACCCTCACATCGGAGGAGACTACTACTAGTAGTAGATGAAAGCATCCAATCACTAGATAGCCTTCAAAGCATCAAGACAAGACAGTTTGCAGTTTGTTGTTTTTTATATGATTTGTGGCACCATCAGAGGGCATATTCATGAACAGGAAGAGCTCACGTACAAGTTCTTTCATCCACCAATGGTTTCTGGT